TTTTCTTTTCTTTTCTTTTTTATTATGTTCAGATCTTTATATATTATGTGCAATAAGGATCCAGCTTCATTATCTTCTGGAAGGAAACCATTTCCTCATATTAATGAATGGACCAGCCCTCCCTATTGAGATGTGACTTGATACGCCCCTTTCTAAACTATTCTGCGTTATTGATCTGCTGTCATTCTGTGTCCGCACCCTGTTTTTAATTATTTTCACTTTATTCATTAGTTGGATGTGGGCAGATAAGTCTACTCCTTCCCCTATCCCAATTACTCTTTTTCAAAACTGTTTTGATCATTCCAACCCATTCTTTTAGAATCAAATTTCATTATAATTCCCTTCTGGGTATTTAATAGATTCATGCTGAATCCAGAGATTATCTGTGGAAAGAAATGAAATCTTTGCAATATTGAGTCTTTCTATCGAGGACCGTTGACCCTCAGCCCATTTATTAAGGCCTTTTTTGTTTTCTGGTTCTGGGGATTGAACCCACAGATGCTCTACCACTGAGCTACATCCAGCCCTTTATATTTTTTAAATTTGAGACAGAGTCTCACTAAGTTGCTCAGGCTGGAACCTGCCATCCTCCTGCCTCAGCTTCCCAAGAAGCTGGGATGTGCTGCTGCGCCCAGCTATTCAGGACTTCTTCACCTTGACCATGAGGAGAGGGCTCAGGAGGTAGGACACAGGGTGCTGCTGCTACAGAGCTGCACACTTTTGTTAAATTACTTGACACTTTAACCTTAATTTTTTGTTGTCTATAACACGTTAAAAGGATTTGTTAGAGCTGAGCTGTCAAATCCGTAGCCTCTACCCCATGAGGCTATTTAAGCTTAAATGTAAATGACACAAAATTTTAAAAATCAGCTCCAGTTGCAGTAGCCCCATTCCAAATGCTCAGTGGCCACATGTGGCCACTGCATTAGTGTAAGTCCAGAACACATCTGTCACCATTGACACTTTGCTGGTACACTACTGCACAGGTCAGGTGAGCAGCAGGTGCTCACTAAGCAGTGGAGATTATTTACAATGTTGAACCCATTTTCTTGGTCACAACAGTGGCACAGCACTTGGGTAAACATAAATTCAAATGCAAGAGCACAGCGCTGCCTCTGCTCTGTCCCTCACCTCTTCTTCACCAGCAGGGTCCTAACTCCCACTCTTGGTACTGGTGCTTCACCACTGAGCCACACCCCCAGCCCTTCTTATATTTTATTTAGAGACAGGGTCTCACTAAGTTGCTTAGGGCCTCACTAAATTGCTGAGGCTAGCCTTGAACTCAGCCTCTAGACCACTGGGACCAGTGCCCTCTTTAATCATTCTTTACTAAAAGAGTAATCCCATCATCTCAGGTGATAAAATGAGCCTGAATCAATGCTATAGCCCAACACAGATCTCCTACTGAAAAGGAAAAGAAAAACAATGTCCAGGAATCAATAATGCATAGGGCTGGGGTGCGGCTCAGGGGCAGAGCACTTCTCTGCCAAAGTTCATCCCCAGCACCAAAAAAAAAAAAAAAAGAAGAAGAAGAAGAAGAAGAAGAAGACGATAAATGATGCAAGAGCTCGCGGAGCTGTGTCAACAGCTTGGGCTTGTGCCTTGGGATCTATCTGGTCAGCAAAGCATGGCAAGGTAAATAGAAGCAGATGCGCTGTCCCTTAGCCACAGAGAGGCCACAGCCAATGGCCACCAGTAAGACTCTGAAAGAACAGCTGTGGAAGACAACCTTCACGTGTACAAGGACCCCTGGATGACAGGACTGGGACGAGCACAGCAGACAGCCCAGCCTGGGAGACAACTGCCATCTTCCAGCCCAGAGACACTTGTGGGGAGCCGACGCCGGCTGTGGCAGGAGCCACATTTACCAAGCACTGCTCAGTGTGTGGATTCTAGGGTCAGATAATATGCTTGAATCCGACTCTGAAACTCACTTGCTGTGTGACCTGTACACTCAGTCTCCCCATCTTTAAAATGGGCTTAGTACCTTCCTTGGAACCCTTCTAAAGGATGTCATGAGGGTTCAGATGATGGTCGCACTGTATTGATCAAAGGGCGTGACACCTTGTCCACACTCGGGGGCCAGCAGCTGTGATGACAGTGCAGCTCAGGAACATACTTAATCATCAGAGCAACCCCATAAAGTGGGTCACCAAGCGAGTAAGCAGCAGAGCCAGATTTTAAACCCCGGTCTTTTCTCTCTTTCTTTTCTTTTCTTTTTTCTTTTTTTGAACCTAGGGGCTTTTTACCGCTGAGTTACATCCCCAGTCCTTTTTATTTATTTTTTAAATTTTGAGTCTCATTAAGTTGCCCAGGCTAGTTTCAACCTGCCATCCTCTGCCTCGGCCTCCCACGTAGCTGTGGTTGCAGGCCTGCGCCTCATTCCCAGCTCAGCTCTCCCAGGTCTTTTCACCAAATGTGAGCTCCAGGACCTGAGGGAACAAGTACACAAATGTCAGGACATCTGCATTCCGGCCCTATACGTTGAGGAGAATTAAAAGAAAATGCAGTGTCCCTTCCCAAATCGGGAGAATGAAGGGCCTGGTTGATATGGACTCTGGGTCGTCTGTAGTCGGTTCCTTGCAGGCACTGAGGCCCGCCAGGCCGTTTCTGAGAAGGTGTGCCAGTGACCCTCCCTCCTGTGCCCCACACCAGCTTCCCCCAGAAGCCAGGAA